CGGCTCTGCTCAAGAAGCTTGCATCGTTTGGTTTTATTTTTTTCTCTAAATTCTATAGTAATAATCAAAATTTCAGTCAAATTATATCTAATTCAAACATTTATTTTTCATCAAAACAAACTTCGTTTTTGCCGGTGGAGAAAAAGCATTAGTATTAGTAAGCAAAAAAAAAAAAAAAAACTAGACTCCATAATACGTTTCTAATTAAATGATGTCTCATTTGGTAATGATATAAAGATCTGACATCTACTTTTATATGATGCAAGATAATCGATCGCAGCTCAATACAACTCACTATCATGGTCAAAAATAGTTGTATTAAGTAGCTCTTGTATACACACGACACAACATATATACACTACATTTTATCTTAAACCTAACTACTTCATAATAATCTAATTTTACCAACACCAAACAACCCATTAACATTGGGCCTTAGTGCAACGTGGCCCAAAGTCTTTTCCTCCTTCTTCCACTTACGACTTCTCTTTCTTCCTTCTCTCGTTTCACGATTCTTCTTCGACTCTTCTTTCAACTTCTTTCTTCTTCCAATTTGTCTTACACTTGATAAACCAAAGATCCGTTTCCAAATTCCAACAATATCAGCCGCGACGTTGCTTCTCCTAAATCTGAAACCCTAATTGTTGAGTTTCTCTATGGAGTCCGTCGAATTGAACAATCCCAATCCCAATTCGCAAACCCTAGATCAACCTCCTCCTTCCTCCAACGGAGACACTGCTCCACTCGCATCGAATTCGGAATCTGTTGCGTTAAACGGTTCTTCTACTCCTATCCCCGATACTAATGGTTCATCAGCAAAGCCTGAGTTCTTGCGTCCTTTGCTATCGGAGAACGGTGTTAGCAAGACGCTGAGTGGTAACGATAAGGATCAGTCTGGTGGAGAGGAAGAGACGACAAGCCGGAGGAAGCGTCGGAGCCGGTGGGATCCTCCGCCTTCTGAGTCGAGTAATAACCCTAGCGCTGAAGGGGGTACTGATTCCGGTACTGGAACAAGGAAGCGTAAGTCGAGATGGGCAGATGATGAGCCCAAGCCGCACATTCAGTTACCTGATTTCATGAAGGATTTCACTGGAGGTATTGAGTTTGATCCTGAGATTCAAGCTTTGAATAGTAGGTTACTTGAGATTAGTAGGATGTTGCAGTCTGGTATGCCTTTGGATGATAGACCGGAAGGACAGAGGTCTCCTTCACCAGAGCCTGTGTATGATAACATGGGGATTAGGATTAACACTAGAGAGTATAGAGCAAGGGAGAGGTTGAATAGAGAAAGACAAGAAATTATTGCTCAGATTATCAAAAAGAATCCGGCTTTTAAACCTCCAGCAGATTATAGGCCTCCTAAGCTCCATAAGAAGCTTTTCATTCCAATGAAGGAGTTTCCTGGTTACAATTTCATTGGTCTGATTATTGGCCCTAGGGGTAATACTCAGAAGAGAATGGAGAGGGAGACAGGTGCTAAAATTGTAATTCGGGGTAAAGGATCGGTTAAAGAAGGTAGGCATCAGCAGAAAAAGGATTTGAAATATGACCCTTCAGAGAATGAAGACTTGCATGTTTTAGTCGAGGCTGAGACTCAGGACGCTCTTGAAGCTGCTGCTGGTATGGTTGAGAAGCTTCTGCAACCTGTTGATGAAGTGTTGAACGAGCACAAGAGGCAACAGCTCAGGGAACTTGCTACCTTGAATGGGACAATAAGGGATGAAGAATTCTGTAGACTGTGTGGTGAGCCAGGACATAGACAGTATGCATGTCCGTCTCGTACCAATACCTTTAAGAGTGATGTTCTTTGCAAGATTTGTGGTGATGGTGGACATCCTACTATTGATTGCCCGGTGAAGGGTACTACTGGGAAGAAAATGGATGATGAATATCAGAACTTCTTGGCAGAGTTAGGAGGAACTGTACCTGAATCTTCTCTCAAACAGAGTGCTACGCTGGCTCTTGGTCCGGGAAGTTCGGGAAGTAATCCTCCATGGGCTAATAATGCAGGGAATGGTGCAAGTGCGCATCCTGGCTTAGGGTCAACTCCGACCAAACCCCCCTCCAAAGAATATGACGAAACAAATCTGTACATTGGGTTCTTACCTCCGATGCTTGAGGACGATGGTTTGATTAATCTGTTTTCATCCTTTGGTGAAATTGTGATGGCAAAGGTAATCAAGGACCGTGTGACTGGGCTGAGCAAAGGCTATGGTTTTGTGAAGTACGCTGATGTACAGATGGCCAATACTGCTGTTCAGGCAATGAATGGCTATCGGTTCGAAGGCCGAACACTCGCTGTCAGGATTGCAGGCAAATTGCCACCGCCTACTGCACCTCCAGGGCCTCAAGCTCCTCAACCACCAACTCAAGGTTATCCTCCCTCAAACCAGCCGCCAGGTGCCTATCCTTCTCAACAGTATGCCACTGGTGGTTATTCAACAGCTCCAGTTCCTTGGGGTCCTCCTGTTCCTTCCTATTCTCCATATGCTCCTCCCCCTCCTCCTCCTGGTTCTTACCATCCTGTCCATGGTCAACATATGTCTCCTTATGGAATGCAATACCCACCACCACCACCTCATGTGACACAAGCACCTCCACCTGGCACTACTCAAAACCCAGCTTCTAGTGAACCCCAGCAAAGCTTCCCACCAGGAGTACAAGCTGACAGTGGTGCTGCTACGTCTGTACCACCAAATGTATATGGTAGCTCAGTCACGGCTATGCCTGGACAGCCTCCATATATGAGTTATCAGTCTTACTACAATGCTGTTCCCCCTCCACCACCTCCAGCACTAGCCTCGTCTACTGATCATTCCCAAAACATGGGTAACATGCCATGGGCCAACAATCCTCCTGTCTCAACACCTGACCACTCGCAAGGTCTTGGTAATGCACCTTGGGCACCTAATCCTCCTATGCCGCCCACTACTGGCTATTCACAGAGCTTGGGGAATGTACCCTGGGCTCCCAAACCTCCTGTACAGCCACCTGCAGAGAATCCATCCGCTGTTGGAGATTCTGAGTATGAGAAGTTCATGGCTGAGATGAAGTAGCATGTGTGTTCTGAGGAGAAACTCCTTAGTGGAGAGGTAAGATGTCCTCATTTGATGTTATTGTTTGTTCTCCCTACAGGTTTTGAAATTAAAATTTGAAATCGAATCAACTGGTTTTTAACATAGGATAAAACTTTTCTTCATCAATTTTCCAACGTTTTCAAAAAAAAAAATTCCTTCTCAACATCATTTTTTAAAGACTTTTTTGTCCATTATTTTGTTCTTGAAAGCCTTCCTGCATATGTAATTTTTCTGTTCTAGTTTGATCACATGATAACTAACTGCTATAGCTCATAATTTGGTCACTGATGTGTTTGTGAGCAATGCCACAGCTAGAGGAGCATCTGTCCTGGTATACGATCGTGAGTTGGATGTTCGAATTTTGTCAGTTACTCTTTTTGGCTCTATGTTTTATTCAGTAACTCCTAATGTGTTTTCTGTCCCACATGAAAAGCATTTGTTTTCACTTATCAGTTTTTCCATTTGACAACATCTAAACTGCTACACTAGCATAGATTCTAAAAGTGTGTCCCTGTTATTGTATACATCTCGTTAACACGAATCTTTGTTTTGTTGATATTGTTAATTTTTTCAGGAGATGTTTCTTGGAGGTCTTGTACCCTGATTTCTTACATCTTTCTTGTTGGAAGTTTGGGACTCACATCTTAACCCTTGCTATGCTGTTGTGAAATATGCAGAGATTCAGGCTGGAAGCTCCCGGTTCAGACAATTGTGTTTCCAGAAAAGGCCATAAGAATTTTATTAATGTTACTGATAATAATTGCTGCTCTTTTGTAGGACTATATTTGGGGTTCTGTTTTCATTTCTTAATACTCATATTTACCGGTGATCAGTGTGTTAAGTCTACTCTGTCTTCATTTACTCACAATTTCTTCTGTACTGTTTCAATTTGGGACTAAAACTTTCGATGGTATTGTAGTGCGAAATTATCTGTTATCCTTTTGTGATGCAAGATATGATCCTCGTACTCTTGAGGTCATCTCTTTCGTTTATCTTGTCTCTTGTGTGCATAGGGAATTCATCAGGGAACCTGAAGGCAACAGGGTATGTTGAACTAGTACATTGGACATATTGACACTGATACTTGATTGTTATTCTCCACCTTGATTCAGACTTGTATTACTAATAATAATATCTTTCAAGCTTCCATGTGGCAGGTGTGGTTTCTGACTAGTGATCCAGATTAACTTTAATAACATTGTTCTTGTTTCCAAGCTTGATCTCTATATCTTTCTAAATGATGACATGTGTGCATGTTAAGAGTCAGCATACTTTTGATAGAGAGCTTTGTGATACGTTGGGCATAGAAGAATTAGAGTAAACTGTCTCAAGAGTTTTCCATATTGATTACCGGATTGCTTATGTTAACCAGTTTGGTAAGTGGTGTGATGTATTATAACTAGGGATATTGGCAATCGGGAGCCTATTCGTATGGAGGATGTTTACAATTGGCAATCGGGAGCCTTTGTCTGAGCTAACAAGATTCTCCTAAAAGCATTATCGTTCTATACGACAACTAGATGGAATAATTCTGTTCAATATTTTCAACCGTTTCCATGTACTAAAATAAGAATGAATATCAAGGTGATAAATAATATAATGTTAGTTACATTTTATGTTAAAATTGGATAAGGACGTTTTGTGTCTTCAGACTTCGGCAGTATCACATGATAAACGAAAAGCAATGCCCTTCTGTTTTCTATCACTGTAAATTCCACAACTCAGACATTTGATTGATGTCACTTACCTCTGGACTTTTTAGTTTCCATGATTTTTTTTGGGGACTTTTTAAGTAGATTTTATAGATGGGGGGGCTAATATGTAAGTCAATATTAGAGCAGGCCCAGTTTTGCAATTTAGGCCATAATACCCATTTTTCAGATCAACAAATCCTCATTGGTGCCATCTTCCGTCTTCGCTCCGCCGTTGAGTTTCCGTTACTATTTACAAAATCATTCATTTTCTTTACTTCCAAAATCGAAATTTAGTTGAATCTTCTTAGCTCAAGCTATATCGATTTCGAAATGGAGGAAGGTCGTGACGTGGATTCTAGTTTTTCTAATTCAGGCGACGATTCCGGCGGCGACGGTGGATTGAGCGGTTGTTTTTTCTTAGATCATGTTGGCGAAGTTTTGCTTTCTCGGAATCATCATGGTTTGTCCTGGAAATGTTTGGATTGTGTAAGATTTTCTCGCTAATGGCATATGTGTTCATTCATGCTTCCTCAACTGTGTTCATTGACTTTAGACTTTTCAAATTAGTGTCGTGTGTTTGTTGATGTTGGAGCTTCTCTTACGTAATAGATCAGAATTTGTTATACGTTGACAGGAGGGAACGACTTGTTTGGGAATTAGGAATTGCGAGAATTCCGAAACTGAGATCAAATTCTCTGATATTTATGCTGTGGAGTTTGTTAGCTACGGTTTGGTGCATAGTCCAAAGTTAGGACTTAGACATGCCAAAGAATGTTTCCAGGAACGCTTGTTAAATACTCAAGAGGTTTTGTTTTCGAATCTTTTGTCTCACTTCTCCTTTCATCTTCTCGAAATTTACAGTGTACTTTGATGTAGATGTATCGGTTCACTGTGCATGGATTTCAAAGTTCACCAAAGGAGCCTTGTCTTTGGAAACTTGCCGCATTCACTTTTGGCCATATGGACTTGCAGACGTGCCAGACTTGGATGGATCAATTGAATTACTCTTTGATTAAGGAAGTAGAAAGACCAAGAAATCTTTTGGTAAAATCTTATCAGTTCAGGCTCTAGCACTTTGTTCCTCCTAATTTGTATGAATGCTTTGACAAATTGATTCCCACTTTTTTAGGTATTCGTCCATCCAAAAAGTGGCAAAGGAAATGGCTCCAAGGTCTGGGAAACTGTTTCCAAGATTTTTCTTCGCGCTAAAGTTAATACCAAGGTCTGTTTTTAATTGCATCACTAGCAGACAGATCATTTAGTAATTCTGTTTTTTTGAGGGTTCGTTATAGGTTATTCTTTGATGACAAAAGGCACACAGATTTTGCTTCTTGGAGTAGCTGATTTGATTTTGTGTTATAGTAGAGGATCTAGGAAAGTTTGATATTTATCATGTAATTATTGCTTCCTTATGGTTTATCAGGGTCAATAGTTACTAATTGATTGTCTTTATTCATACTTTATATTTGCAGCAAATGAGTGCTCAGAAAGTGTTATTATATATATTGCTTTAGCAAATATTGCAACATGACTTCCACAATTTTTGACATTCATTGTATGCACAATTTCTAGTGATAGTGTAGCATCATGAGACGTGAATGTTTTCATTTTTCATGCTATGGTCCTTAGTTCGATATTCTTGATTTACCCTTTAAATCAGGTGATTGTAACAGAACGAGCAGGACATGCATTTGATGTAATGGCATCTATCCAAAACAAAGAGCTCCATTCATATGATGGCATCATAGCTGTTGTAAGTTGTAGCCTATTTTTTCTATCTTTCATTGACCCAAAGTACTTTTTTTGACAACGATTGTAGTGATTGATTCGCTCAGCGCATCTGTGAAATATTTTTGTAATGCAACAATTTTATGAGTCTAGTTATGGATTAGTGCAAGTTGATGAAACTTCTTCACTCCTGATATTAGTTGTCGCATTTTTCTTTCTCATGCCGCTTACCTGTGGATCATATATCTGCTTTCATGATATGATCTTCAGTATTTTAATATCTTCAAAAATCAATTGATGTTCAGGGTGGGGATGGTTTCTTCAACGAAATCCTTAATGGATATCTTTTGTCGAGACTTAAAGTCCCTCTTCCACCAAGTCCTTCAGATTCCTTCAATTCTGCTCAAAGTAGAGCTAGCTCCTCAGTTGCAGAATCAGGAGATGCAGTTCATGAGACTGACCAAAAGGAACACTATCCTCTACTTCCTGACTCAGTTCAAGAGGTTATGAATTTCAGTATGTATTTGATCACTTCTATCTAGTCTTTGTTCAACCGCTGGGACTGTAACTAGTTGTAATCTCTGGGCGTTACTGTTTATCTACAGGGACAGTCAATGGCTCATGTGAAGGTCAGTTGGTTTAGTTGTCAGCAACATATCCAGTTACATTGCCTGCTTCCGAATGTTTGTTTTTTCTCCCTTTCTTATTAAATCACTTTCTTTTCTGGTTGTCTTGTTCCTTTTTGTTGAAAATCTCTTAGGAATTGAATATCCTGATCATCCCTTCACTGGTGGAAGGCCTCGATTTGGCCTCATCCCGGCAGGTTCAACTGATGCAATAGTTATGTGGTAGGCTTTTTTATCATCATTTATTCATAATCATCCTTCCACTAGCAAAGGTTAACCTGCACCATGAATGAAAAGATGTTTCACTTATATCAGCAAATAAACTGTAGTTGATTACCAAATAATAACTACTGCATATGCATTTTCACTCTCTACTGTCTGGTTTTTCTTTTTCTACTCCATACAAATTTTGAAAGATTTGGTGATAGCTTCAGGAATGTAAAAATAGCTTCTGAGAAGCTTTAAGTTTTAAACTACTATTTATGCTCTTGCATTACAGCACCACAGGAGCTCGTGATCCTGTAACATCTTCGCTGCATATCATTCTAGGAAGAAAGCTCTTCCTTGATGCAATGCAGGTTGTGCGGTGGAAAACAGCATCAACCTCGACGATTGAACCTTATATTCGTTATGCAGCCTCATTTGCTGGGTAATGGACTAAACCTTTTTTGTGAGATGTTCCGTAACAAGGAAAGGCAGATTCTGTTAAGTCATGAACCTCTGATTCTCATCCTTCACTTACAAGCCCGAAGCCTTAGTTCCTTATTATTAGTGGCATCCTCGTTTGTCTAATAGATCACCTCAATATCATCAACCATTAGTGCCTGTGATAGAAAACTTGATTCCTCCAATCTCTAACAGAGTTTTGTACAATTGGTTAGTTCAGATACGGGTTTTATGGTGATGTCATTTCAGAAAGTGAAAAATATCGGTGGATGGGTCCCAAACGCTATGATTACGTTGGAACTAAGATATTCTTGAAGCACAGGTATTTTCCTAACATATTTACCAATTTTAACTTCCAAAAGAAAACATTAGTTGAATTTCCTCCAAATGATCTACCTTGTTTTTCTTCCAAGCAAAGCACTGTTGATTGAGTTGTTGATTTATATGTCAATGCAAGATCATATGAGGCAGAGGTAACGTATGAAGAAGCTGAATCAGAGAACTCTAAAGCTTCCCTACACTCGCGGAGTAAGACATGGCCATTTCGAAATACCTCAAGATCAGAGAAAATACTATGTCGTGCGAACTGCAGCATATGTAACAGTAAGGTTGATGGGAATATTGTAAGCACAACACCCAACTCCTGTCCAGAAAAAACAAGATGGTGTAGATCGAAAGGGCGGTTTTTGAGTATAGGTGCTGCAGTGATGTCAAACCGAAATGAAAGAGCACCTGATGGGCTTGTCGTGGATGCACACCTCTCAGATGGTTTCCTTCACCTCATACTCATTAAGGATTGTTCTCGTCCCAAGTACTTATGGTAACGTCTGGACTTTTGCTATTGTCATTCATTTTATGAGTAAGGCTTATATCAGAGATTGTAATGGATTACAGGCACCTCACCGAGCTTGCGAAAAGAGGTGGAGAACCTTTGAACTTCGAGTTTGTGGAATATCACAAGGTTTGTAAAACATTTTCCTTTTGAAATCTTCTTAACTTGGTTGGGTCCTGATCAAATGTATGTGGGAATGCAGACGCGAGCTTTCACATTTACATCATTTGGGGAAGAGAGTGTGTGGAATTTGGACGGAGAGATCTTTGAGGCTCACCAATTATCAGCTCAAGTCTTGCGTGGCCTTATACCTCTGTTCGCATCTGGTCCAGAGATATAACAACATGCATGTGAATGTGGTTTTATATGGAGCGTTGTGCATAGTTAGTGACCCAAGTGAAAAAGCTATATGAGATTGGAAACTAGAAAAGTATAATAGTGAACATGACAATGTTGCCAAAAAAAGAACAAGGCAAACATATTATAGTATCCAAAAACTTCAAGATGTAACCATTGAAGATGATCTTACTCTTTCTCTTTGTAAACATCATTATGATGTAATATAGTCAATAATAATTCAGCTCTAGTGATATGAGAATGTATTTTCAATGTAACCCAACGGTGTAAACTGTATAGGGGACTAGTAACAATAACAACAGAAAGAAGAGAGACTATGCAAAATGAACAACTAAACTCAAAAGCATCCAGTATTGCATAGGGATGCAAATTCCAAAGACCTTGCAACTTAGAGCATGCACAATGAGGGTACAGAATTTAGTTCAAGAATCCGACCATATATATTAACTAAGAAATATAGAGTCAGAATTTAGTTCAAGACAAGATGGAACATAAACATCACAGGTAACAGCTAAGATGAGATAACTAGTAAAGAAATCAAAACAAGATTATATTTCTCCTCTGTAGCCACCAGAGCCAAAATAGTCTTTTCTCGAATTAGATATAGCCACACTCTTCTGGTGCTCAAGTTTTGGACAGTCTCGGATACGATGTCCAAGACCACCACAATACGCACAACCTTTGACACCACTTGCATTAGCAATGGTCTCTGCTTCTTCCATTGGATCATTCAGCTCAGCAAGGACAGGTGGAATCCTCTGTTTAGCTTCTTGCAACAAGTGTTTCAAATCGAGCAGCGTGGTTTCGCTTTGATTCTTGTTTATAAATGTTGTTGCGATCCCAGTTTTACCACACCGACCTGTTCGTCCTATCCTATGCACATAGTTCTCAATCTCTGCTGGCATGTCGTAGTTGATTACGTGTTGTATATCTGGGAAATCTAGACCCTTTGAAGCAACATCAGTCGCGACCAAGACATCTTTTTTCCCAGCTTTAAACGAAGATATTGCATACTCTCTGTCTTCTTGATCTTTTCCTCCATGGATGGCCACTGCTTCCACTCCTTTCAGTAACAAGTACTCGTGAATATCATCAACATCAGCTTTGTTCTCACAGAATATTAAAACCGGTGGAGAGGTTTTCTGTAGACACTCGAGGAGGTAAACAATCTTTGCTTCTTGTTTGACATATTCTACCTCCTGGATCACATCAAGATTCGCAGCTCCAGCTCTTCCTACATTAACTGTCACAGGTTTCACCAGAGCACTTCTGGCAAAGATTTGAATTTTTGTGGGCATTGTGGCAGAAAACAAAAGTGTTTGACGTTGAGACTTAAAGTGGTCAAAGACTTCCCTTATGTCATCTTCGAAACCCAAATCAACCAACCTATCTGCCTCATCTAGTGTCAGGTACCTAAAATAAGGAAAAAAAAGAAGGTAAACATCATTGCCATCTAACATTATCAAGATTTCGAAATTACATGGCACAGCCACTAGACTCCAAAGACAAGAAAGATGCATTCAGAAAGAAACACTAGTGCGGACAATTTATTCAGAGAGAAAAAATCCTATCTAATCACACAACAAAGAAAATATAGAGCAACGAAGCGCTAAGCCGCTAACAGACCCTAGACAATCCTACTGATCTCTCCCGTTTACCAGAAACAACAAACCACAAATAAACAGATATCCTTAAGAATCTAGCCAAGTGCAAAACTCAGAAAAAGAGAATATAAGATCAAACAATGCAGCCAATCATAAGGCGCAAACATATATTACAATCAGTATGATTAATCATATTGAAAAGAACCAAAGAAGTCATACCTGCAAGCATCTAAGCTCATCTTTTTCTTGGCGAGCAGATCCTTTAACCTCCCAGGGGTTGCAACAACAATGTGAACACCTCTCTTGACAACCTCCAACTGTGATCTCATATCAATTCCACCAATACATAGCAACGACCTCAATGGCGGGTATCCAGCCTCAACCAAAGGAGCAACAAACTGCTCAACCACTTCATAAGTCTGCCTAGCAAGCTCTCTAGAAGGGCAAACAATAAGCCCAATGGGACCTTCACCAGCAGCAATAGGCATCATCATCTCTTCTTGAAGAGCAATCATGATCATAGGAAGCACGAAAACCAAAGTCTTTCCTGAACCGGTGAACGCAATCCCAATCATATCCCTCCCAGCCAAAATCACAGGAAGACCCTGAACTTGAATAGGAGTAGGCTGCACAATCCCCTTCTCCTTGAGCGTATCAAGAACAGGTCTAGGAAACTTCATATCCTTAAAATTCTTAATAGGTGGAGGAATATCATCACCATTAACAATAATATGCCATTGCTTCCTAATCAAATCTCTCTGTTTACTCGACATCCTCCTAATATGCAAAGGAGGTTTCCACCCAGTTAACAAAGGCTCTGTATAAGTGATACCTTTGGCCAATTCACGAACAGACATAAGCGTCTTCTTATCAGATAAATGCTCCATCATCTCTTTCTCTTGTAAGATGATTTGCTCAGTAGCACTAACTTGAGGAACATCACGCTTGAGCTGGGTTGCTTGAACAAGTAAACTAGGTTTAGCTTCAGCGAGCTTTTCCTTGTCAGCTTCTTCCTCCAATTCTGAAGCTTTTCCCTTCCGCTGAAGTATCTTCTGCGCTTCCATAGCTCTCCGCTCCGCCACTGATACATACTCAACGTAACTATCATCTTCTTCCATTGATTCAATTTCGAGAATTCTAGTAGTAGAGACTCAAATCAACATATTTTGCCAGCCCTAACCTAAACCTGATACTTTCTTTGTAATTTTAGGGTTTTAACGATTGATCTCAGAATCATCTTCTACCTCTTCTTGATCTCAGAATCGCCTTTTTTTTTTCTTTTTTTGTTCCGCGAGTGTTTTAAAACAACGTGGGCCTATTGGGCTTATTCTCTCTTTCAAATGGGTTACATTTGGTTTTTAATTATCTTAAATAGAAGTGGAATTTTTTTGGCCCAAACAAACGAAACGAGAGTGGGAAACTAGAAGAGTATAATAATGAATCCAAAGAAACTTCAAGATGTAACATTCCCAATTTTGCACTATGATCTCATTCTATATGTTGTGCAGTGGATGATTTACATTTTTCGTTAAACTTCATATAAAAGAAAGTTAAAGTCCAACCTGCATTTAAAAGAAAATAAACCTGACCCAAATGAATTAACCTAATTTAAAACCCATAAATATCATCAATTCCACAAACAAGTTCAGGTTAGAAGAAGGATTTGGGCTCCAATTAATTTTAACATAAGTGATGATGATTATAGTTTTTCGCTTGTTTGGTGCATGGCAATATACATTAGTTATATTTATTATATTTTATCAATATAATTTTTATTTAGGATATGTTAAATTAACCATATAATGAATCATACTTGATGTATAACCTGCATAAAAAATTTCATAGTTTGTGAAGCGGAGCGACGTTGACATTGCATATGTTTCGGCTTCTTTATTTCCCTCTTATATGTATAAGTGCATTTTCTCGACTCTTCTTCATTTATTTAAATGAACACTTTATTAATATGTCACTTTCATAGTATATTAATTAGTTAGTAGTATTCATTGGATTGTTGACAAAAACGGATTGGTAAAAATAGAAAAAAAAAAAAAACACATTGTCACATACCCATATTATAGGGATCGGGAGACAAAAAGACGTGAGGACAAGATATATAGTTCATGGGAGCAACCAAGGGCAAAAAAAACAATTAAAAATTTAATTTTTAAGGTGTATCCTTCTAGAGAAATTCAACTTTTAAATATTCCAATTTAAAGAATATCCTTCTATAGTAAAAGGGGATTGAACCCGAGACACAAGAAAATCAACCTTTACTTACCACTAAACCACCACCTCTCTCATATGTTGAATATTTTTTTTTTTTTTTTTTTTTTTTTTTGATATACCCGATCGGCTGATCCGGTCAGCCCTGGGGGAACGCACCGAAGTGCTACCATGTGGACTCACTACCACCCCGAAGGATGGGCTACCACACTGCCTAACCCAAGTTTGGAATGCTTTCCGACTAATGCCCGGGGGTAGCTGGATCGCCTGTTACCAGACTACCAGGTAAACTGCCTGGGCCGAAGCCCAAGCCCAGACTTCCCACAAAGTGTTGATAACAGCGAGGGAGGAAGATCGAACCTGGGTTCGGGGATTTCACCCTCAACTCCAGACTCGCCCTACCACTAGCCCACCACCTTGCGGTGGATTTCAGGAACGTGATTCATGATTTCATATTGACTTTACCAAGTATGAAGGCTGTCTATTGTTTGTTGTTGCATTAAGCATGCAACTAGTCTTCCCAAAATTTAAATTGTCTCTTTTTTTTTTTTTTTTTTTTTCTTTTTTCTTTTGGACTTGACGGTACATATATTTTTTTGGACTCGACGGTATATATTTTAATTAGTTACCAAATATATTAAAGAATAACAATATTCCAATAGAAAACAGATAACTTACATAATAGAAAAAACATATTAATTAATATTTCTTACACTATGTTGATGTAAGTAATGTATTAGTTTAAACTGTAAACACATGAGCATGCTCTCATATATTATTTGTTTGTGCGTGTATTTAATCACCCACATTTTAAGTAACATGAGACGATAAACAATACCAACTAATATATTCAAATAAGTGACAGAAAAAGAAAAACAAGTACTCAAGGATATAATGTTGTCATATATCCTTTGTACTCTTTGTACATATGTTTATTTTTGGATCAAGCAAATTACACATTCAAACAAAAAAGTAATGTTGTCATATACTCCCTTTGTTCCATTGTAAGTGATGTTTATGGTTTTTGCATATAAATTAAGAAATCACAAAAATCTCATTAAAAATCACAAAAATCTTATTTAATTAACATCTTTTACATAAAAATATTATTAACTATAACTAATTCAGCTAATAAAAAAATATACTGTAAAATATAATTGGTCATAAAATATTAAATACATTTAATTTTTACATAGAAAATTGAAAACATCACTTAAAATAAAACAAAAAAAATCTTTAAAAACATCACTTAAATTAAAGTGATATGGAGGGTGTAATTGATAAGTCACATTATTTGACGTGCATATATGGAGATATTAATTTCACCATTGATAAGTCATGTTGTTCTTAAGAAAATTTCTCCCTAGCAATCCTGAAAATGCTTATCATAATTAACAGCAGGTCATGATATGTGATTTCAATTTTTTTCAAGTAAGAACAGAACAGTATATATTTATTTTTAAAATTTTAATATTCAGTGGACTGATATATCTTCACAATTTGAAAAGGTTAGACTGCAGGAAAAACAAATAGACATTTTCAAATCTTTAAAATACTAATTAGCAAATTGTGCATAAACTTTCAAAACAAATACGTGTGAGACAAAAAAAAAAAAAAGAAAGAAAGAAATTTAAGCCCTCTTCTTTGCAGCACTGATAATGAAGAAAATTCTTGCGTGAGCAAGAGAGTAGTAAATACCAATGATCATGAGTCATGAGTCATGATGCATGACCAAGTTATCTTAATTTTTTTTTTTTTTTTTGGTAGTACTATTAAATATTAGTAATTTAAGAAGCTCCATAAGACTCTGTGGTTATTCAAAGCAATTGATTGTCTCTGAAATTGGGAGCACGAAGCCACGAACTTGGGTCTTTGGCTCTTCTTCCATCAATGTCTCTGTGTGAGAAAAAGAGATTCCTTGGCTTCTTCGACTTCAAGATGTCAAAGTGAGAAAAATACCTTTTTTCCTTCTGACACAGCTTATATTATCAGGTAGGTCAAATATGTGATTTTTTCTTGTTTATTAGAAATTGTAATCATGCTTGGCTTGATGATGGGTTTCTTGTTTCCACGCTTTTGTTCTAGTAAAGTTCCAAACTTTATGTTCTGAAAAAATATTCTGAGTTGCAAAATTCCTCTCCAATTGCATTGTCTAGCTGTCTATATCTAAATTGACTTTGGAATGCGTCCAGATTTGAATTTTGAGAACATTGATAATGAATATCTAAGCATCGATGCACTCTGTTTGAAATAAAGATTTTTTCAAAAGCATAGACAGCAAATTAACCATTTGTCTTGCCTTTGTTTTGGTTTGGCTCAAGGATCTTCATTTCAATTGTGATGTTGTTGAATGACTTATCTCCAAATGGGCTTTGAGACACAGATTGCTACTGTCTCATCTGGTTGGAAGAAAGATTAAGCGATGAGCAGAACCGTTGCAGACCATCTTGCGTAGAGCTCCACAAGCCGGTGCTTGGACTTTCTGAGGATAAATGGACTCTTTTTTTAAAAACTCATATCTGGACCCGAAGCAGGTGCCTGCCCAGCTTCCTAAGAGGGCTAGCTCTGATCTTTCGTCTCCTTCTCAACCGCTGACCATTGCGATAGCTATTAGTGGGAGCAGTAAAAGCAAGAATGTAGTTAGGTGGGCGCTCAAAAAGTTTGGTTCTGAAGAAAATGTCATTTTCAAGCTGATTCACATTCATCCAAAGCTTACTTCTGTACCTACACCTTGTAAGTTCCATAGATTTTCTTCTCTGCCTGAGACTTTATTTGACTACTTAAAGAGCCTGAATACCGGTTTCTGTTTCTTTCCTAAGCGGGAAACACAGTCTCTATCTCCGAGGCACCAGAGGATGTGGCGGCTACTTATAGACAAAACGTGATGCAGGAGACGAAAGAAACTCTTCTTAAACCTTTCAAGAAAATGTGCGAGCGGAAAAAGGTTTTTCTATTTTTTTCCGATCTTTCTTGGTCTTTTTTTGTCAGATATCTTATAGCTAAAAGATCGATGAAACTCGTTTTGAATCTTCTTTAAAAAGGTTGCAGTGGAACTTCAAGTCCTCGAATCAAATAGTGTTGCAGTAGCGATAACGAGAGAGGTTAATGAGCATTTGATCAGAAACCTTTTCATTGGACGTTCATCGCATGGTGCCTTCTCGAGGTATGGCTTGAAACATTATCTTTTCGGTTAAATTATCTGATTGCACAGAGTTTTCTCAATGAACTTATGGTTGAAACAGTTCCAGGAATCATGATATTACTGCAAAGATATCAGCCTATGTGTCAAACTTATGCACAGTTTATGTTGTCTCAAAAGGAGTATATATTCTTTCAAAAGATAAATTATCATCAGACACGGAGAGGAATGAAACTCTAAGAGATTCCGGTAATGAGATAACCGATTCCTCCAGCTGGTCTTCTGGTTCAGGACCAAACTCAGGTTCGGAGCTTCATCAATCTTATACTAGAAACTGATATTTGATTCATGAGTCTAATATTTCTTCGGTTTTTCTTTAGATGTAATGTCAAACGCACTCAAATCTAACCCTCATGCTCTGTCCAAGAAGAGATTGCAACATCTCCCGACAATAGTAAGAGGGGTTTCTGTTCCTATTGAAACTAGTTCTGCTGAGTCAGATGAAACTAGAAGTATGTCTTCGGATGTTGCCGAGGAAGTAAGCAAGAGAAGTAGCCCTGAAACTTCGCGTAGTGTTTCTTGGAATCATCGGTTTAGAGATTTTGATGAGAGAAAAGACGCTATGAGTTCTATGTCTATGTATAGCAACCATGAATACGGAAATGTTACTCAAGGTGGAGATTACTTCACAGACAACCAGGTAAAGTAATTTTCAATAAGATTGTTCGTAAACCACTAGTGAAATCGAAAGCATTGGGGATTAATATGTTTTTTCATTGATTTCAGGACACGCTCAATGAAATTTCGAAGTTGAGAGCTGAGCTTAGACACGCTCAAGAAATGTATGCAGTGGCTCAAGTAGAAACGTTGGATGCTTCTCGCAAGGTCTGCATGAAGAATCTCACTAAAATTAGGATAACTTGTATTTGATGAAGCTTCTATGCTATTGGTTTGTGTGTCTAATAAATCTGCCCCCTTAATGGTTTCAGCTAAACGAGCTTAAGTTTGAAGAGCTAACGCTAAAGGAGCACGAAATGAAGGGGTTAGCAGAAAAGGAAACACAGACGTTTGAGAAGAAGTTACGGGAAGAGAGAGACACTGAACAAAGAAGAGAAGCCGAGATAAAAGCAGCCCGTGAAGCCAAAGAGAAGGAGAAGCTTGAAGAAATTTCCCTAGTGGCTCCTAAGCTGCAATACCAAGAGTTCACTTGGGAAGAAATCATCACCGCAACTTCATCTTTCTCTGAAGATCTAAAGATCGGAATGGGAGCTTACGGGGATGTTTACAAATGCAATTTGCATCATACAATTGCCGCTGTCAAAGTCTTGCATTCCGCTGAAAGTAGTCTATCCAAGCAATTCGATCAAGAGGTACCCCCAATCAAAAAAATTTCTTGTTTGAAAGTTTTCTTTCTTTTTTTCTTAAGCTGACATTTTCATTCGCCGTTTATCTCTCTTAGCTCGAAATCTTGAGCAAGATCAGGCACCCGCACTTGGTTCTCCTTCTAGGAGCATGTCCTGAACGCGGCGCTCTAGTCTATGAGTACATGGAAAACGGTAGCTTGGAAGATAGACTATTCCAAGTCAACAATAGTGAACCAATCCCGTGGTTTGTGCGATTCAGAATTGTTTGGGAAGTCGCATCAGCGCTTGTTTTCCTCCACAAATCAAAACCGACACCAATCATCCACCGCGATCTGAAACCCGCGAACATCTTGCTTGACCACAACTTTGTCAGCAAAGTAGGAGATGTTGGTCTCTCCACAATGATCCAAGTCGATCCATTGTTAACCAAATTCACAATGTACAAACAGACAAGTCCCGTGGGAACGTTATGCTATATCGATCCTGAATATCAACGAACCGGAAGGATATCTCCAAAATCAGACGTCTATGCTTTAGGAATGATCATTCTGCAGCTTCTCACCGCTCAACCAGCTATGGCACTGACATATACAGTAGAAATAGCCATGGAGAACAACAATGACGATGAGCTAATACAGATTCTTGATCAAAAAGCGGGTAACTGGCCAATAGAAGAAACCCGCCAATTAGCCGCTTTAGCGCTCTATTGTACAGAGCTCCGTGCTAAAGACAGGCCTGATTTGGAAGATCAGATTCTTCCAGTATTGGAGAGCTTGAAGAAAGTAGCTGACAAAGCAAGAAACTCGCTTTTCGCTGCGCCAAGTCAACCTCCAAGCCATTTCATCTGCCCATTACTTAAGGTAATAACTTGTTTGCTACGTTATCTGTTTACTTGCAAGAGAAGTCAGGTTAGTTTAAAGAAGGATGTTGTTATATTGCAGGATGTGATGAAGGAGCCATGTATTGCGGCTGATGGGTACACTTATGACCGGAGAGCCATTGAGGAGTGGATGGAGAACCACCGGACGTCGCCGGTGACTAATTCGCCGTTACGAAACGTGAACCTTTTGCCCAATCACACCCTTTACGCAGCCATCGTTGAATGGAGAAATAGAAATCAGTAAGGCAAAACAAAAAAGAGAGCGCTCTGATTTAATATTATCAATTCCACAAACAAGTTCAGGTTAGAAGGAGGAGTTGGGCTCGAACCTCGAAGTTATGTTAGTATAAGACTGTAAATGGTAACATGGGTTTTGAGGAATTCTTGAGAAATTTGTGAGGAATTGTTGATGTTTCAAAAATTTATATTTGTTTAATAAATTAATCAATTTAATTATTATTAAAACTAAATAAATATTAAAACTATAATATGTAATTTAGTAGTAGAAGACTTCTACTAAACGTTATTAGTAAGGAAAATTATAAACTAGAAAAATAAAATAGTTTAATTTTTATTGAAAAGGTAACAATTATTAGTTTATTTTATTAGCTTATGCTTTTATATTTGATAAAAAAGATTAAATGTATCACATTCTTAAGTTTTACAAATTTGAACTTTTTCAAATTAAGTTATTATCTGATGTTTAATAAAATTATTAAATTATTTAAAATTTCAAGTTTAATAATTTCATTTGTTTTTTATTTGCTCTTATTGACAAAATAAAAAATTGGAATATATATTTTCATATGTTTTTTTTTTATTAATTAATTAATTTTGAAAAATTCAGCCAGTCGTTACCATTTGAACACGAAGATATTCAGCCAGATTCAACAATTCAGCTTAATTCAGCCGGATTTCACGGTTACCATTTACACCCAAGTTTGTTGGATTCAAACCGGTGATGATGAATATATTTTTTTCTTTGGTGCATGCATACATTAGTTATATATATATATATTTTTATATGGGATATATATTTAACCATGTAATGAATCATACTTGATGTCCCTACAAAACAAATTTCATAGTTTATGAAGCGGAGCAACGTTGACATTGCATATGTTTCGGCTTCTCTCTTTCCCTCTTTTATGTCTAAGTGCATTTTCTCGACTCTTCATTTATGTAAATGATCACTTTATTAAAAGTATTCATTGGATTATGTTGTTGACAAAAAAAAGATTGGTTAAAAGAAAAGAAAAGTAATAAAATAGACACACATTGTCCTTATTATAGGGAAGACAAAAAGACGGGAGGACAAGATAGATCATGCGAGCAACTGACCCCAAAAATCAAGTGAAATTGGAATTTTGTGTATCTCATTATATTTTAGTAATGCAAATATAATCTAACAGAAGTGTAAAATGAGACAATATATGTTTGACAATATAAAGAAAATCGCACGGCACTTTCATTCAGTTCTAGTTTATGGTAAAAGAGATTCTTGTATTGTAATCCGTTTGTGTGTTTTCTTAGTCTCATATTTGTTTTAATTTTCAAAGATTTATGTTTTGTATGTTTTTTTTTTGGATTTCTAGATTGATCCAAGAAGTATTGATGGATGTAGTGTTTAGTTTGTTTGGGTTTTTTTCTCCTTTCTTTATTTTGTTTGGTCTTTATATTCGGGAGTGTTATTGTATTCGCCCGCTTATGTCTCAGGAAGGGTTGCTATTCTTGCTGGCTCATTATATTTCAACTTGAATCCTATCAATGAAATCCTATTAACGAAAAAAAATAAACATTATATTTGACAATTTAGAACAATTCTTGGGTTCACCCACTTTCATTCACCCCCTCTTAATTATCCAATTAGAATTTGCCATATCATTCTAGTTAAAAAAATTAAAACAATTAATATTTTCTAAATAAAACAATAAGATTAAGTCATAACTACTCTTTTATAAACCCAAACCGATATATAATCTCGTTTAATTACAAAATCTAAACCCTAATTCTCTTTTGTAAACCCAAACCGTCATTTAAACTCGTTTAATCGTAAAAAATCTAAACCCTAATCGTATTTTCTAAACCCAAACCGAAACTTAATCTCGTTTAATTGTAAAATCTAAACCCGTTTTGTAAACCCAAACCGATAGTTAAACTCGTTTAATCATAAAATCTAAACCCTAATCCTTTCTAATAAACTTAAACCAATACATATTTCGTTTTAGTGGCAAATTAAATTTTAAAATTAAATGAATTTTTTTATTATTGTTAGGTGGTAGATTTTGATTGGATGAAGTAAAGGGGGTGAACATAAAAGGTTCACCCTTAGGGGTGAACCCAAGTATTTTTCGACAATCTATTGTCTCAATTTTGAGCATGAGTCTCATCTATTTTTTGTTTGTTCGTGTATTTTATCATCCACATTTTAAATAAAATGAGACAATTAACAATACCAACAAATGTATTCAAAGAAGTGACAAAAAAAACAAGTACTCAAGGAAATATATAATGTTGTCATATTTGAATATAAACAGATACACATTTCCAATCAGTTACTCCTTTTTTTTTTAATGAACAAAATAATTGATAAGTCACATTATTGAAGTGCTTATTGCAGATAATTCACCATTGATAAGTACATGTTGTTTAAAGAAAATTTCGCCCAAGCAATCCTGAAAATACTTATCATATAAAGTGACTAACAACATCTTGTCCATGATGTGATGCAACATCTTTTTTTCTTTTTTTTTTCTTTTTTGAAGTAAGAACAATATATATATTCATTTTCAAATTTAAATGTTCGATAAATTAATAATAATATTCATAATTTTGAAAAAGTATTTCCAGCTGTGCACAAAAAAAAATATTAGTTTCCAAAACAGACAGTTTCCAAATCCAAAAAAAATTAGCCCCTTCATAAAAAAGGAATGGCGCAGAAACTTTCAAAAGAAATAAAAAATGATAAATAATTTAAGACCCTCTTCTTTGTAGCTTCTGAATTCTGATAATGAAGAAAATTCTTGAGTGAGCAAGGGAGTAGTAAATAAAAAGAGTGAAAGAATCTTCAACAATGAGCATGACCAAGTTATCTCAATTTTATATTTTTATTAATATAAGATTCTGTGGTTATTCAAAAGGAATTGTCTGTCTCTAAAACTTGGAGCACGAAGCCACGAACTTGGGTCTTTGGCTCTTCTTTGTGTTTTTTCCATAAATGTCTCTGTGTGAGAAAAAGAGATTCCTTGGCTTCTTCGACTTAAAGATGTCAAAGTGAGAAAGATACCTTTTTTCCTTCTGTCACAGCTTAAAGTCGCATCCTTTTATTATCAGGTAGGTCAAAAATTTTGACTTTTTCAGGTTTATTAGAGATTGTGATCATGCTTGGCTTGATGGGTTTCTTGTTTCCAAGCTTATTTTCTGCTGAAGTTCAAAACTTTATGTGCTTAAATCTTAAAATCCAGGTTCTGAAAATGATTCTGAGTGGCAAAATTCCTTTCTAATTGCATTGTCTAGCTGTCTATATCTAAATTGACTTTGGAATGTGGCTTTGTTATGTCTAGACTCTAGATTTTGAACTTTGAGTATCAAAGCATCTCTTGATGGATGCATTCTCTGTTTCAAATCAAGATCTTTTCAAAAGATCACATTCTTATTCAGCATGTGATATCAATTAGTCTCTTGTTCCTTGGTTGTCTCGTTTTTGTTTGGCTCAAGGATCTCCATTTCAATTGTGATATTGTTGAATGACAGAATGCTACTGTCTCATTTGGTTGGAAGAAAGATAGGCGATGAGTAGAACCGTTGCTGACCATCTTGCGTAGAGCTGGCCATGACATTTTAGAGGCTCCACAAGCCGGTGCTTTGACTTTCTGGAGAATAAATGGACTCTTTTTTCAAAAACTCATATCTGGACCAAAAGCCGGCGGCGCGTGCCCAGCTTCCTAAGAGGGCTAGCTCTGATCTTAGGTCTCCTTCTCAACCGCTGGCCATTGCGATAGCTATTAGTGGGAGCAATAAAAGCAAGAATGTAGTTAATTGGGCGCTCAACAAGTTTGGTTCTGACAAAAATGTCATTTTCAAGCTTATTCACATCCATCCAAAGATTACTACTATACCCACAGCTTGTAAGTTCCAAAGATTTTCTTCTCTACCTGAGACTTCGTGTGACTACTTAAGAGCCTGATACCGGTTTCTGTTTCCTTCCTAAGCGGGAAACATAGTCTCTATATCCGAGGAACTAGAGGATGTGGCGGCTGCTTATAGACAAAAAGTGATGCAGGAGACAAAAGAAACTCTTCTTAAACCTTTCAAGAAAATGTGCGAGCGGAAAAAGGTTTTTATATTACTTTTTGTCTTTCTTGGTCTTCCTTTATCAGATATGTTATAACTAAAGATTGATGAAACTCGTTGTTGAATCTTCTTTGACAAAGGTTGCAGTGGAACTTCAAGTGCTGGAATCAAATAGTGTTGCAGTGGCGATAACCAAAGAGGTTAATCAGCATTTGATCAGCAATCTTGTCATTGGACGCGCATCTCAAAGTGCCTCCTCGAGGTATGGCATGAAACATTACCTTTTCGGTTACATTATCTTATTGCACAGAGTTTTCTGAATGAATATATGTGTTGAAAATTCTTCCAGGAATTATGATATTACAGTGACGATATCAGCAAGTGTGTCAAACTTATGCACAGTCTATGTTGTCTCAAAAGGAGGAGTCCATATTCTTGCAAAAGATAAATTATCGTCAGACACGGAGAGGAGTGACACTTTAACAGAATCTGGTTATGAGAGAACAGATTCCAGCTGTTCTTCTGGTTCAGGACCTAACTCAGGTTCGAAGCTTTCATCAATCTTTCACCAGAAACTGATGTGTGATTCATGAGTCTAATTTATCTTCGGTTTTTTTTTGTACATTCTTTAGATCTAATGTCAAATGCACTCGAATCTAACCCTCATGCTCTGTCCAATAAGAGAATGCAAAATCTCCCGACAATAGTAAGAGGGGTTTCTGTTCGTATGGAAACTAGTTCTACTGAGTCAGATGAAACTAGAAAGAGGTCTTCGGATGCTGCAGAGGAAGCAAGCAAGAGAAGTAGCCCTGAAACATCGCGTAGTGTTTCTTGGAATCCTCGGTTTAGAGATTTCGATGAGAGAAAAGACGCTATGAGTTCCATGTCTAGCAACTTTGAATATGGAAATGTTACTCCCCTTGGAGACTATTTCACAGACAACCAGGTAAACTAAGTTTCGATAAGATTGTTCGTTAACCTCTAGTGAAATCGAAAGCATTTGGGATTGATATGTTTTTTCATTGATTTCAGGACACGCTCAATGAAATTTCGAAGTTGAGAGCTGAGCTTAGACATGCTCATGAAATGTATGCAGTGGCTCAAGTAGAAACGTTGGATGCTTCTCGCAAGGTTGGCTTGAAAAAATCTCTAGAAAAGGATAACTTGTGTTTGATGAAACTTCGTATCTATTGCTTTGTGTGTCTAATAAAACTGCCCCTTTAATTGTTTCAGCTAAATGAGCTTAAGTTTGAAGAGCTAACGCTTATGGAGCACGAAACGAAGGGGTTAGCAGCAAAGGAAACAGAGAAGTTTGAGCAGAAGAGAAGGGCAGAGAGAGAAGCTGCACAAAGAAGAGAAGCTGAGATGAAAGCAACCCATGAAGCCAAAGAGAAGGAGAAGCTTGAAGAAAGTTCCCTTGTGGCTCCTAAGCTGCAATACCAAGAGTTCACGTGGGACGAAATCATTACCGCAACTTCATCATTCTCTGAAGATTTAAAAATCGGAATGGGAGCTTACGGGGATGTTTACAAATGCAATCTGCATCATACAATCGCTGCTGTCAAAGTTTTACATTCCGCTGAAAGTAGTCTATCCAAGCAATTCGATCAAGAGGTACCCAATAAAAAAAAACCTTCTTATTTGAATGTTTTCTCTGTTTTCTTCAAAAAAGCTGACAATTCTATTTGCGATTTAACCTCTCTTAGCTCGAAATCTTGAGCAAGATCAGGCACCCGCACTTGGTTCTTCTTCTAGGAGCATGTCCTGAGCACGGCGCTCTAGTCTATGAGTACATGGAAAACGGTAGCCTGGAAGATAGACTGTTCCAAGTCAACGACAGTCAACCAATCCCGTGGTTTGTGCGGTTCAGAATCGCTTGGGAAGTGGCATCAGCACTTGTTTTCCTCCACAAATCAAAACCGACACCAATCATCCACCGCGATCTTAAGCCTGCCAACATCTTGCTTAATCACAACTTTGTCAGCAAAGTTGGAGATGTTGGTCTTTCCACAATGATCCAAGCTGCCGACCCATTGTCAACCAAATTCACAATGTACAAACAGACAAGCCCCGTGGGAACGTTATGCTATATCGATCCCGAATATCAACGAACCGGAAGGATATCTCCAAAATCAGACGTCTATGCTTTCGGAATGATCATTCTGCAGCTTCTCACTGGTCAACAGGCTATGGCACTGACATATACAGTAGAAACAGCCATGGAGAACAACGACTACGACGAGCTAATACAGATTCTTGATCAAAAAGCGGGTAACTGGCCAATCGAAGAAACCAGGCAATTAGCTGCTTTAGCACTCCAGTGTACAGAGCTCCGTTCTAAAGACAGGCCTGATTTGGAAGATCAGATTCTTCCAGTATTGGAAAGCTTAAAGAAAGTAGCTGATAAAGCAAGAAACTCGCTTTCCACAGCGCCAAGTCAACCTCCAAGCCATTTCATCTGCCCATTACTTAAGGTAATAACTTGTTTGCTACGTCATCTTTTTACTTGCGTGAGAAGTCAGGTTAGTTTAAAGAGGAACGTTGTTATTATGTTGCAGGATGTGATGAAGGAGCCATGTATTGCGGCTGATGGGTACACTTATGACCGGAGAGCCATAGAGGAGTGGATGGAGAACCACCGGACGTCACCGGTGACTGATTCGCCGTTACAAAACGTGAACCTTTTGCCCAATCACACTCTTTACGCAGCCATCGTTGAATGGAGAAAAAGAAATCAGTAAGGCAAAACAAAAATAGCGCTCTGTTTTAATGCCATTCTTTGAAACTGCGTAGCGTTTTTCAGCTTAGAGAAACGGCGAGATGTTCTCACGGCCTTTTTCTTTTGGTTTGTTTGTTCTTTTGGAATTTGGAATGACCTTTTTATTGCATTTGGATTTATTTTATTCTTTACTTTGTGGATTCGGTTGAAATGTATATGTAATTTGGTATTAACCGATTGATAAACCATTTCGATCTAAATCTGATTAGATTCTCATAACTCGTGTTTGCTTTTATTACCGCTTCTAATTAAATGCGTCTAGTTTTTAGATACTCCCTCCGTTTCGTTTTAGTTGTCGTTTAAGGTTTTCGCACACAAATTAAGAAAATCATTAAATTTTTTGTATTACCCTTTATTAATATATTTTATAATTTTTTCATTGGTCAAAACATTAAAACATTAATGACAAAACATGAATTTTCACCAAACATTTGCATTGAAAACCTAAAACGACAACTATTATAAAACAAAATTTTAATCCTAAAACGACAACTAAACTGAAACGGAGGGAGTACGAAACTTAACTAGAAATGAACATTTGAATTGTTTTATAACTTCAAATCTGTATCAAAAAAAGTGATTGAACGAGGTCGAATATCTATTGTCTTGTCCGAGAAGTAAACATGTTAAAAGAACATAAATTAAACAGATTTAAAGTGTTTTTTTTTTTTGTGTCAACGAAAATATTTAAATTTTAAAACATGCTAAATAGTGTTTATTAACTTTTTCTCCAAACGTGAGATAGTTTTGATCATAAAACGGATTAACAATAATTAATTTAGCCCTTATAAAAACGTTATTGGTTAAATAACTTAAAACTTATGTCACAATCAATTCCCATTAACACTGTATCCACGCGTTGGCGTAGCTTAGCGTGCGTGCAACTATCCGTTTAGTTCCCATTATTACTATTGAAGTTTGGATTAAGGATCTTACTCAGATTATATAATAGTTTATGAAATTTTGTTATTTTCATAATCTCTAAAATCAGACATTGACTTCATTAATCATATTCTAAGAAATTTGCTGATCAGTAATTCTTTTTTTTCCTGTATAATTCATCACATACAAACATAAAATGAAAATAGACATTTTAGAAATAACTTAAACTTGAAAAACATAATACAATAATCATTAGATCGATCTTGAAAATAAATTCATAAAACTCAAATCACGTAACAACCTTAACATTGCCGAATAATTAGACATTAAACCAAATTAACCAAACTAAGACAGCGGTTGGTTGCTTGGGGAATCAGTGCTTCGGCGGATTGTTGCCTCTGCGCATCTCATATTGAATCAAGAGACCACCTTCTAATCTCGTGCTCTTTCTCCACTGTGATTTGGAGATTGGTCTTCAACCGGCTATGCCCTGCTCTCCCTATCTCAACGACTTGGGCTGAGCTCCTTTCTTGGACACGTTGTGCTTCAACAAGCGCCCCTTCACTGCTTCGTAAGGTGGCTGCTCAAGCTTCGGTTTTTCATATTTGGAAACAGAGGAATAATGCGTATCACAACTCGCAGTTCATCCCTCCTGTTACCATCTTTAAGCTGATTGACCGCGACGTCCGCAATATCATCACAGCTCGAAGGAAACGTAAGCGATGGCGAAAGCTAATGCTTCTTTGGATTCAATAGATTTGCCCAAATCTTTTCCAAATTTATTGTAACCTTGTTTTATTTTTTTTGCCAAGGCTACTCTATCTAGGTAGTGCGTTCTTGTAATACCTCATCTTCATTTTCTAATGATATTAACATATTTAGCAAAAAAAAAAAAAAAAAAAAAAAAAAAAATTAACCAAACTAATGTGATGATGCATGCATATTGGAAATATTGTTACGTCAGGTGAAATTAAAAAGAAAATGACATTACGCCATTAAAAGGACCCGGTTGTGGACCCAACACGGATATTCGGATCTACCCAATTGCATTTCACTTAAGATCCGAACCCGAAACGAACAGATTCTTTTACTATTAATTAGTGAAATAATTATTTGAAAATAAGCTTTCTTTTCTTACACGTCACCGGCCACTGCTGTCTTTGACATTCTCCTCCACTGCTTTAAAGGAAAGAAACAGCACTTTCCCGATTATTTTCATTTCTCCATTGAAATTAAATTCAAAGCTTTCTTCTTTCGTACGATATTACATTAACCCAATTCGAATCTCTCAATTTTTTGCCCTTTTCTCTGGATTTCGAATTTCTATTGATTCCTTTTATTCCCTTTTCATATAAACCCTAATTTTGTTTCAAGTTTCTCAATTTGTGTGAATCCTCAGAAATTCAGAAAACCCAAAGTTCGTTTTTTTCCGATTGGGTTTTTGATTGATTCGATTTCCGGTGATTCTCCGATGAGGATTTACGTGATTTTCCTTGTGGTGATCTCCTTATTTGCCTCCGCGTTTTCCGATTCGATTCTCGAGTACCCGTCGGAAATCGAGACCTTGCACAAGAAAGCTGCCGATGAAGATGTCAATTTGCATTGTACGACCTGGAGATTCGCGGCGGAGATGAACAATCTCGCGCCGTGGAAAACAATTCCGGTGGAGTGTGCCGATTACGTGAAGGACTATGTGATGGGTAAAGGCTACCTCACCGATTTGGAGAGAGTTTCTGAAGAAGCTTTGATCTTTGCGAGCAGCGTCGAATTCTCCGGCGATGGCAAAGATATTTGGATTTTCGATATCGATGAGACTCTCTTATCCAATCTTCCATATTACATTGACCATGGTTTTGGGTACATTTTCTCAATTCTCTTCATTTTACTATTTTATCTCAAACTTGATTTGGTTTGTGTGTTCATGTGGTTCTTTTGCTTGAGAACTTCATCAATGAGGACAACTGATTATAGAAATTGCTTGATTTTGTTTGGGGATTTTGCAGGTTGGAGCTTTTTGATCATTCGGAGTTTGATAAGTGGGTCGAGAAAGGAGTGGCACCAGCTATAGCACCAAGCTTGAAGCTTTACCAGAGAGTGATAGATTTAGGATACAAAGTTTTCTTGCTTACAGGGAGGAAAGAGAGCCACAGGCTTGTCACTGTTGAAAACCTGATCAATGCTGGTTTCCAGAACTGGGACAAGCTTATTCTCAGGTATAAACAACCATACTTATTCATAGAAACAAGTGTAGCTCTTAGGTTTAAAGTATAGATAGATGCTCCTAGGTCATGCGATGAGTTTGTTCGTTATGCAATGGTTGATGCTGGTGGATCATGTAGAATTTTATCTGCATATAATAATCAGTTTTGAACATCCTTTGCATTATAGCGATCTTTTGTTTATTCGTTTTGCTTTGCCCTTGTGTGTGTGATGTGCAGATCTCCAGAGGAACAGCACAAAATGGCGACACTATACAAATCTGAGAAGAGAGATGAGATGGTGAAAGATGGATACAGGATTAGAGGCAATTCAGGTGATCAATGGAGTGATTTGTTGGGTACCTCCATGTCTCAACGATCTTTCAAACTCGCAAATCCAATGTATTATATCCCCTGAAGAGCTTTATTTGACGACGTATAAAAGGTTTGGAAAATCGTATATACTTACTAGAGCAATCAAAGTGTTTTTAAAGTTGGATTGCCTTTGCTTGTAACTTGTCAAGCTATTAAATGTACTAATAACAGAGAATACTCTGTTTTATACAGAGTAGATAGTATAGTACTCGTTTTAACTTTTTTTTACAATATATTCATGATCATCTTTAGCGACACATTCATCACAAACTAGCAGCAAGAACCTTCACGAAAGCATATGGTTTAGGGACTTTAAGAACATGATCAAACCACTCAACTTTCCCCCAAATTTGACAAAGTATGTGCCTTTTAAGCACAATCACGGCACACCAAATCATCTTCTCATCTCTGCCACCAGGCCCACAAGAAGGGCAATCCTCGACCCACAAAGCCGCTATCTTTCCACCATAATCAGCCGATCTAACAGAAGCATTCACAGGAAAACTAGGTAGTCCTAACAAACCGTTCAATATTCTACACATTCTTACCTCAGTATCATACCATCTGAACACTCAGGCGACAAGTAGAGAACAAAACATTTTTTTATCTCGCAATATGAATATGAAGACATAATATCAACCATCATTGGTATAACCTGGTCCCATCTACCTTCCTTGGAATTGTAAGCAACCACCTGGTCCCAATATGAAGATGTATTTTTGAATCCGGCGGATTATAATATTTTGGGAAGACGATCTATTTCTCCACGAGAGTTCTAGATAGAGCTCAATCTTATGACCACGTGCCAGATATCCCTAAAAATAATAGTTTTCACCTAATTACCCACATACATCGGTTTTGGGTAATATTTTTATATGATTTTCTGTAATAAGAGTAGTACATTTGCTAAGAAAACACCAAATTGAATAAAGAAGAATGGATGGGAAAAACCTCTAGTTATAACTAAGTAGAAGAAACAAATAATAATTAAATAGAAGAAGATCCTAAATAGTTAAAACTAAAAAATAGTTAGAAAATGAATTCAAGCATGAACCCTAGCTACAAGATCCATCACAGGTCATTGGCTCTTGTCTTGAAGGTCGTCCGTGGATTCCAAGGGTGGTTTGGAAAGTAAAATAGCACAAACGTGCTCATCTATACTTACTACCATAATCGGCTCAAATATCTTTCTGACAAAAGGAATATTTATTACCAATTCTATTATGTAAAAAGTCAATTAGTATTTCTACCATATGATTTCGTACATGAACCAATAGAAATCCTAAATGAATAAGGAACATGTATATAAAGCAGTACTCGAAAAAACAAGCGTCAAAGATGAGCCAATGTACACATCTATAAAAAAAAAAAAAAAAGAGAGGACAAATTCATGCATAAAATATGCTCCTGTTTCTCTTAAAACACCAAAAGTAAGTTAAATGAGACCCCAAAACTCTTCTTCTCTCTCCTTTTTTTTTGTCTTCTACTTAAATTAATGGTTTCTTGGGTTTTCAAATTTGGAGCTGTTCGAGAAAGGTATTACAGTTGTTCATGGTTCGGGCGTCAAGAAGGCCGTGGTTCCACAGTTTCACCATAAACACTCTCCAGCACCTACACACACAAAAAAACTCACATTTATCAAGAAAACCACTTTCTTCTCTGAAACACTTGACAAAACAATGGAGGAAAATGAGAGTTGAATTACCAAATCAAGTGTGGTGTTCGAACCATGATGGGTCCATGCAATCTTGAGAATGCCTCACATGCCCATGGAATGTGACCATCTGCTAATACTCTGCAAAGGGTCCAAAACCAGTGTCAAGGTAATGCTTATCATGAGTCAGAGAACATGGACGCGGATGTTATCTAGTTGTTCACTTTTTTTTTACCGGAAGAACTCATCCAGGAATTATCCAGAAACTTATTACATGTGACTCTAACTGTTTATACTGTAAAACTCCACATCACATGTACTGAAAATAGATAAGACATACCGCTGCTTCCTCACAAACGAGTTCCACATGTGCATCATCTGCTTCTCATCTTTAGTCACATCAACAAAATCATCGAGCATCTGAAAGAAAGAAGAGTTTCAAATAGTAATAGGAAAAAAAAGTTATTCACTGTAAACTAATGGAGAATCAGACAAACAATGTTTAAACTTGAGAACAAACGGACACACTTCGTCTTTTAACAAGTGTTATATAAGCACTAATGATCTGGTTCTACTGTTCCATATCGAACCATGAGGCTTGCTCACATATTTCCTATCGATCTCTTAACCATTACAATATTTCTCCTAAAGTTTGCCCAACGCTGATGCGGTGAAAATGTTAAATTCTAAAACATACCCTTCTATCTTCAAAATCTGCCACATCATCATCAACTTCATCTTCACTGTCCCGGTCCGAAAGTACTTGTTCTAGAGCCATGGGCTGCGATAGCACACACCGTAAAGTCAAAATCAATTGCAATCTTCAAAAGCAAGAGAGCTAAAAAACTTTGAATACCTGAGCTCGATGAGAGTGGAAGAACTGTCTCTTCTGAAGGAGGCTTCGGCTGGAGGAGGAAAGAATTTGAAAAACTCACTCACATAATTTGGGATTAGCAAACTACTTGTTATCAAACTAGGACAGGAATTTTCATGCATGAACCATATGTAGTTAAATGAAAATTGAAGAAGAGGATAGAACGACAAAAGGAGGTCAAACATACTTCCTCAAGTCCGACCGTTCTATAGATAGTTTCCTCGTTTTTGCAAACTGCAACATTGTACTTCCAGCTATCGACTGCACATAATCTGGATCCCCGCATGATTGCACGTCTGCAGGACTCGTGCCAGGAGGAACTCTTTGACCAGACTCAGCACCCCCAATTCTTTCGTAATGCTTTCCAGGTGGTATTCGGCTCTTCTCACTTCTAACAGAATGAGCATCTACAAATAAAAATAAAAAGCTGTGCCAAATGATCCAACGTTGTCGCATGCACAATTGCACATAACAAAGTAAAATACTCGTAAAATATAAAACTAAGACAGGCTCTCATCACAAAAGAAGCCAATACTACATATCCAATTAACTGTCATTTCAGTTAAACACATACCATCAGTTTTATCTAGCACCTCGCAACCTAATCCAAGATGAGGCCCTTGCCTTGAGCTCCGTACCTGACTCTTTTGCCTCCTCCGTCTGAATTTTTTTGAACTGTCACATATAGAAGAATTTTTATGGTCTGGAAGACTCACTCTCAGATGCTGGAAAGATAAGTAAAGGAAACATAATAGGCCAGATAACTTACGAGAAAAAGAAAGTTTGCTGCTTTGGGTCAACGTCATCCTCATTAACCTGAGTAGATTTTTAATGAACATTAACATTTCGAAAACTGTGCTAAGAGTAATCATCAAATAGGAAAAACTACAAAGACATAGAATTTATTGTAGAACCAACTACTTCAATTAGGTTTGACACTCCTATATAATCCAGGACTTTATTCTACAGTCGAGCTTTGACGGCCTCATGGCCACAAAAAGTTAACAGCCACAACCACAGCGATGTCATTTTGATTTTATTCTCTTCACGTTATTAAGGACACTAGCAAGGATCACAGTGTGGCAAACTAAAGATTCCAGTTCCCTTATTTAACCACACAAAATTCAACAACCCATGGAGGATATTAGTTTAAATGAAATATGAAATTGTTACAGCCTATAAGATCTACAGCAGAGAAACTAATGAACATAAATCGAACAAACAAAATGTTCTAACCTCGGACATCATTGTCTCAGTCTTGAGGGAGACATTTACAGCCTGATATTCTTCAGTTACCTAAAACCAAGTGGAGCAGATTAATGGCACCCACAAAATAAAAACCAGTAAACAGGTTAACTGAATTTTGAAGTTACAAACCCAAAACTCGAAATTGAAGAGATCATGGGTTGATGGCAAGTGATATCTCAGGCCCTACAACATGATTGGGAGAAAAAGAAAAGATTGCATCACTACAAAGACTAGTCACTACACTGTATCTTTGACTGAGAGGTATGAATGAGAATGGAAATGAAAGTCCACCTTGAAACTGGCACATTTTACTAAGCAGAATGGACAAGAAAAGTCTTCAGTTACTGCAAGACACATAGCAAATATATACATAGCAGGGTAGGGTAACAGATGAAATATATAGACACACATGGGTATGAAACAGGTTAGGATAATACTAAGTTACCTTCAGTCCTCTGCAATTTGTTGTTATAGTATCTGTAGTTGAAAACTACATTTCGTGTTCTCAACCTATGCAATGAATGTAGTGGTTTAGAGTCAACTTAACGAGATGGACATTATAAGTTGTACTTAATGACTTGTACAATCCCCATTAAAGAGAACAGTCACAATTCAAGAAAAACTGACAACTATATATTAAGGGAGATAACAGACTGGCCAATATATTTTATACAATTACAAAAAATCATAATGAGATGAGGCAAGAAAGCTGAAAGCGCAGAAAAGAGATTGCAGACTAAACTGAAGATTACCTGATAATTTGCAACAATGAAGAGGAAGAGATGTCATTATATGAAAATGAACTATAAGGAGATTTTTCTGTTGCCCCAAGTTCTTCTGCAGATATGGTGACTTGCACTTGCTGTGGCGAGCTCTTCAAATAAGAAGTATAAGAATTATAAGAAAACAATTACATAATATTTTCAGAATAATGGATGGAAGTATAGCAGAGTGTGCGAATTTACCGAGGTGAGGGGATTGCTGGGCACCTGAATCGAGACACACTTTTCCTCACTCATGGACTTAAGCTGCAGCAATGGACAAGTTATACCAGTAATAGTTTCATTTAAATAATCAAGATTGAAAACTAACAGCAAAAATATAACTGACAGTAGCAATTACTTCCAATTTACTTTTTCAAATTACAAAAGAAGTTCAATTCAGAGTCCTCATTTCACTAAAAAGGGGAAAAGACTTCGGCGATAGTTTTTACCTTTATGAAGCAAGGCTGCATTTCAACAAGGGAGACTGAGTCTACTCTCTGTCCCAAGTCCATGTTTGGAGATTTATGCCACGACGCATACAGCGATTGCAAGGGTATTTTGCTCCATAGACAATGTCCTCCTATATTTCCTGCCAGAAAAAACGCTCATGATGATAAGAGTTAATGAAGAAAAAGACTTTCAGAAACTCTTATAACTGGACTCAAAGAATCCCTAATTCGTTTTGTTAATAAATAGGACTGAGATTCTCCATACTATGACATGGAAAGTTGGTTTGCCCAAAGATACATCACTTTTCAATATTAAAATGTTCTATTAAGGAAGAAATGGAAATACCTGAATGAATCTTGCCAGAATCAATGCCAAATTGTGAATTTTGCGCACCAGCTACAAGAAAGAAAATAATGTGATCAGTTTATCTGAATACTGTACAACTATGAATGTCTTTAAATAATTTTGTACACCAGTCAATCTTAATCACCAAAGCTGATAAACAAGATAGCAAGTGATCCTGATTTAGCCTCCAACGCGAGTCTATTCATATCAGGGAGAAGAAAGTTGGCTTGGGCTTGACTAACTCCGTCATCCCCCAGGCCACCAGTAAGGATACATGCTCGACTGAACCTATATACTGCAGAATACTATAATTTGAGAATTTCAAGAAAAATGTTAGCAATGACTAGGTAAGTTACAAATAATAAAAATCAATCCAACTCTGTCAGAGGTTCAAACGCATACCTCGGCAACAGGCTTAGGAGAAACGAGTCTTGCCAACAAAATATACAGAGGGAATAATTTTTGAGTTTGTACCCCAGCATCTATAGTGCCCGAGAGGAACACAGTCATTTGTATTCTGCAAAGCAGTAATATATATTGATTACTATCAACCAGTTGGCAAAAGTCTCAAAATCTTCTTCCCAGAAACTTAGAAAGCATTCAGGTCCGGAATGAATTATTGAGGTATAGTGTAATAATAACACAAAACTAATGGAGATTCTGAACATTATTAGAAAGACGAAAAAAAAAATCTTACCTTCTTTTATGTTTTGCCTCAATCTTATAATGCAAACATCGCTGAAGAAACAAGGGCTACACGGGAGACAGAGAAAGAAATGATTAGGATGGACTGCATAGCAAATGAAGTCAACTCAAACAACACTTCCCATGGGAATTTTCTATATCAAACGTTAACCAATACTTGTAATATACCAGCTAAGCTATATTGTTTACGCGTAATTATATAGATTTTCTCTGCAGAAAGGTAAGAGTTAAGAAAACACATACATTCCTAATAGCACGGCGCTGAAGGATATTGTAGAGTTCTACAGGCTTGCAATACGCAGCCAAGCTCTCTTCAGCGGCAATCTCCTCCTCTTCCGAAATACGCACACGGGAGTCTTCATGGCACATCTGCTCTGTGCTTCTTGAACAACTGTGATTCATCATCATACGCAACCAAAATTGTAAAAACACAACAACAAGAAAAATCGATCAGTATGAATTACGATTCTTCAGCGTACACAAGAGAAATAGACTAAATTACGCAATGCTGCAGAGACAGACATTATAGAAGAATTAGGGGAAAGATTTGTTCTTGAAAGATGGCAAAAAGAGACTTACGAAGAGGTTTCACGACTGACAAGAGGAATGCCTGGCATTCTGGCTACGAGATCCTAGAGTACAATACCATACCCAGAATCAGTACATACACCATCACAGATTACAATTTGCTTCAGCTACAAAACCTGCAACAAAAATCGTAAAGAAGAAAAACCCAAAAACAAAAAAGGGTCATTCGTTAATGGGTATCACAAACGATTAGCAGGAAACAAAAAAAAAGGTTTAAATTTGAACAGTGACCTCGAAAATCCAGCAAAGAAATTCAATCCAAAGTCTCGGACTTGAGCTAATTAGATGGAGAACAGATTCAACAAATTGACAGAGATCTCGAACGGAAGATTAGAATGGAGATGGAACAGTTAACCCAGGAAAATAAAAAACCCTAATCGTGAGAATTATCTTCACGCGAATACAGAGGAGACTGTGACAGCTTGAGAGAGAGAGAAAGAGGAAGCGTTTCGAAGAGAAATAAATAAATAAGTTTAATTTGTTTTTGTTGAGGAGACTGTAAGAAAATAGCGTAAACCAATGTATGTATGTCCTAAATCTTACCAACTCTCTCACGTGAACAAATTTGTTACGACACTATTTACTGTTTTTTTGTGTGTTTTTATAACAATACTTTATCTATGGAAAAATGTCAAAAAAGTGCATAAATTTTTAATTTTGGAACTAATTAATTATAGATTTTGAAAATCTCGTTTTAATCGGAAAGTTTTTGTTGAATTCAAAATTAACTGACAAAGTTTGGTTGACGTTAAGTAGACAAACAGAAAACGTTTACGATTTTAATCTTCTGTTAGTCATCTCTGTTATGTTTAAACGACATCGTGTTAGTGTTATAAAACGATACCGTTTCAATTAAAAAAAGGAGACAAAAAAAACCTCAAATATACCATACTTTTTAAAACACAACACTATTTGCTTATTTGGAATTAAAACCCTAATAGTGTATTAATTACTATATTTGTTAGAAAATCACTATTTACTGTTTTTTTTATAACAATACTTTATCTATGGAAAAATGTCAAAAAAGTGCATAAATTTTTAAATTTGGAACTAATTAATTATAGATTTTGAAAATCTCGTTTAAATCGGAAAGTTTTTGTTGACTTCAAATTAAATGACAAAGTTTGGTTGACGTTAAATAGACAAACATAAAACGTTTACGATGTTAATCTTCCGTCAGTCGTCTCTGTTATGTTTAAACGACATCGTGTTATTGTTATAAAACGACACTGTTTCACTTAGAAAGGGAAACAAAAAAACCCTTAATATACCATACTTTTTAAAACACAACAATATTTGCTTATTTGAAATTAAAATTCGGCGTCACTTATAATCAAAGTGTATTAATTACTATATTTGTTAGAAAATCACCGTTTCTCGGATAAAATGACTTTAAATTCTCAAAAAATCTGAAAAATCAATAAGACTCGATTCACAATAAAATCTAGTTAAAATTCTTTTATATTATTTGAAACGAAATTCTCCATTGGCCATGAGAAGGCATAAATTCTGAACTAGTCAATGTAAGCCACTTGAGTTCAAATTAGAGATCCACCAAAAAATGGATAACAAACTAGCCAGTTTCATATCACCATAAATTGGTAATGGTATTGGTATTAACGTTTTATACCACAACTTTTCATATTTTGTAGTTTGTACAGTTAAACTCTTTCCTGCATCACTGAATAATTATGAAAATAAACTTCAATACCAATCAAAATTGTCGTCTTTTATGGTATTAATCATCTCTTACTATCTAAAATCAACCATCATTTGTATTGTCTTGTGTCACCAACATTGGTAATGTGTTTGTTTTTTCATAACGGCGTATGTTAGCATTGTAATTAACATCTGGCCAAATAGACGCTAACGTGGACGACTGACTACCCAGCCCACCATCAATCACACAGGGGAACGAGTCGGAGAGGGTTTTTCGCTTAGGGTTTTAGAATTCGATCTTTCTCATTCAAATCCCACCTTCGATTTCTTCATCTGTTGAGTAAACCACAAGGGTTTGTCTCAAATGTTGCCCAGATTAGCTCGAGTCGTCACTCAAACCTCAAAGCTTCGATCTTTGACCACAAATGGATCGATGAAAAATCTCTCCTTTTTCTCCCGATATGGGTACGCGACTGTTGCGCCGGCGGCGGCTGATCCTCCGCCGCAGAAGGATTTCCCCAGTAAATCTCCGGTATGATCCTAAAGTGCTAACATTTTGTTTACCCAGTTTAAAGATCTCGTTTTCAGAACTAGCTATTACTGTGTTGATCGGCCAAGTACTATTAGCTAAATTCTTAGTTGTTGTGAATGTTGAAGTCGCACTATAGGATTCGAACCTAAGCTCAATTTGATTCTCTCTGTCTCTACTGTAATCGTATTGTTCTATGAAATTGAGCTCAATCTGGGACTACAGTGACTTCTACCGTCTTGTCGTTTTGTTGCATTCCTTTAGGCTTTACTTGTCAGAACGTTGATGTTGGTGTTTTCCTAAGTATATAGAGAAATGTTTTTGTGATTTAGATTCATGCTCTTTCTTTGACTGTTTATGGATTTCATGTGTCTTCTTTAATGGAAAGTATGTGTTCTATTTTTGACAGATAAACTTGGATAAGATGTTTTGGTCAAAGCCATGTTCATTGGCTCTGCCTAAAGACTCTCCTCTCAGAATTGATGAACCAGACTATGTAGGGATTCGTCGTTTTATACTAAAGCTGATGATGTTCTATAGCAAACAGAGCATGTCTATCCGTGGGGCAAACGTGATCTACAAGCGGATCATTGCACAAGTTGACAAACCAGCAATCTATGATGGTACTTTATTTGGTTTCCAACACAACTTTTGCAAACAGAATTATGTATTTACATTTTGTGCTTTGTTTATATATTGGGTGCTTTGTGTCTGCTGCAGTTTTCAACTTGGAGAAAACATTCAAAATAACGTTTTCGCTGCTTGTCCTTCATATGTGGCTTGTTTTACGCCGCTTGAAGGAAGATGGACAGGAAGGTGTTGACCTTGGTCAGTATGTCTATGAGATCTACAATCATGATGTGGAACTCAGGGTATCTAAAGCCGGGGTACGTGCTAGACTTGGTTTTACGTTACTGTAGTTTCCAAGATAAATCTTATTTTCTTAGATTTTTTAAAATTAAGATGGTCTTTATCTTTCTTGAAATTGCAGGTTAACTTGCTGCTAGCCAAGTGGATGAAGGAGTTGGAGAGAATATTTTATGGAAATGTTGTTGCCTATGATGCTGCGCTACTTCCAGAAGCTAAACCAAATGAACTACAAATCAAATTATGGAGGTAAAGCTTCTATAACGCCATGCTTTATGCAATGAATTCGGTAGAAATTACACAGCAAAGTAGCTCGGCGCGAATGTATATACATTATGGCAGCCATAGATAATGGATTTGTCTCAGAACCTTAAATGCAATTGGTTTGTAGGAACGTATTTTCTGATGATGGAACAACAACACCAGATAACACAGATTTAAAAGCAGCACAGGCATGATTTTCTCCTCTCTATCTCTCTCGCAAACACACACACATTGACATACAAGTTTAGGCGTTGTGTACCAAACTTGTTGAGACATTGCTTGTGTGTTTCAGGCAATGGCAAGATATGTCCGGAGAGAACTTGGTTCTCTTTCTTTAACAGGTGCATAACACAAACCTCCATTTTCTTATAATGCTTTATCAATTGCAACATACATTTAAGTTATATAGTAACCTATGAAGCTGTAGTTGGCATTGCCCCATTCTGTTACTCGCACTTGCATTTCAAATAGACATGCCTTTTCTTATATGGTTCTGTTTTGTAATACACAGATAAAGAGTCCATATTCTCCGGCAATTTCTCCTTCACCCCTTTGGAGAACATGCCCCTGTGACTTAAATGAAATTAGAAGAAGTGGTGGCGCTTTGCGAATCAATCTTTCATTTGTTTCTCTGTTTCTTTCGATTTTCTTATATCCAACCAAAGAAACCTACACAAGAGAATATGCTGGTTGTTAGCATCCAGATGATCACGAAAACATTGTGAAAGTTAATAAGATTACTGAAATAGAGCATTTAGTGTCATTGGTACATTAATTGGCTTACTAATGCTCAAAATCGTTTATAGAAGGCGATATTATTTACTTCTCTGCGTTTCAACATTTTATGATCTTGTATTTGAAACAGTTTTATACCTTTAGCACGTGGAATTCATAATCTTTATGAATTTTGTCTTTTATACAGGTTTTATGTTCCATCCTTTTTTTGTCTTAGAGGTTAGCACAACAAATGAATTGTGCCAAATGGAAGTAGATTTAAGTTGATGATCTTTTCGAAGTACCTCATAATAGCGCTTTCATAGAGAACAAATATTCATGATTAAAGATTTATGCTCGCGTATAAGGAGATTATGAAGACTTGTGTAATGTACCAATGACACTAAGTGTCTACATGAAGATTTCCGCTCACATAGAAGGATCAAAACATTACTCGCACAACAACAACAACAACAACATCAACAAAAAGAAGTAAAAAAATTAAGATTACATCATACATTGCATGTTATTATCACACATTACTACAACACAAATGTTGGAAAAAACAAACAAAGAGAAGAGGTCAAACGATAGATGACAACTTAATGTGGAAATCGATTTTAGCCTTTGAATTTTAAGAAGCTTGTTGGTGTTGGACTCCAATGTTGTGCTGTCCATACTTAGTATCCTGCACTCTGCTCCCCACCTTCATCCGAGCATTCTCTATCTTCTCCGATCCAGATCCCGTCAAGTGCCTAAATATATTCACCAATATTCAAACTCTTTATATAAACTGTAACGTGCATTGCAAGCTAGGTTTAAAACCTGTAGGTCACGTTTTGTGTGAGGGCCATAAGTTACCTGTATAGCCAAGAGAAGGCGGTAATGGCGGCTATTCCAAAGCCACCGGATGCAAGGAATCCGGTGATGATGAGAGTGACGGTGATCACTGCTGGAACCAAGACAGGGCTGAAGATTACGAGGAGAGGAGTGGCTACCGTGAGTGCGATCACTGTTCCGGCGAGCGTTAAGCCGGAAAGGACAAGGAGGGATCCACCGGCTGTGACAGCGGTTGCTGCCTTCACCATCTGCCTCGCCTTCGGATGGGACTCTTGGGTACTGTCTCGGCTTATCATCTCGTGATGGGTTCTTGTTTGGTCCGCCATTGATTATTTTTTATTATAATCCCTCCAACACAAATGGTAGAAATTAGCAGAGAATAGGTAGTGATGTATTTTGGAGTAAGCAATGATGATTTATGAAGGAGAAGGAGAGCTGGTGGGGCTCGCTTGAGCCGTGTCACGTGTCCAAAGTGTCTTCATGCAGCCGTTGCATGTGTTAATGAGATCAGAGAGGGGTCTGTTTTGCGACACGTACGTTGGCCGTTTTGTTTTTGCAATCGGACACAAATGGACCGGGACATAAGTCACGTGATATATATATACACACACGTTATTATCGATCGGTCGTGATGTTATGGTCTTGATCCCATTCCCCACTCTATAGAAGCAAAGAAAAGGAAGTTGGAATCAATATCTGTTAGGCCAAACCAACTTAATTAGCCCACAGAGAATAGTAGCTCGTTGCCTCAAAGGAGCTATACGCCGATATATCGTGGTTTAAGAACATTATGTAATGTAATTAATGTAGTATCTGTGTTTTGTTAACGTATTATATATCTTGGTCTTTATCTTCATAATCTAATCCTTATCAAACACTAAAGAAGGAATTTTCAAATCTTGACCATGAACATGAATTTATTTGGACATCTTCTAATTTATTGGACAAAAACGTGCACGCAGAAATTTCAAACTTTCATTGTCCAATTGGCAAGTTGCTATATATAATAACTCTACACTTCATTGCTTAGCCGTGAAAGAAACAAAAATCAACTAAACCAAATTTAAATTAGTTTCAAACAATTATACAAAAGATATAAGTTTCAAATATTGTGCCCAAACGAGAATCCAAGGCGGCAATATTGTCTAAAACAGGCAAGTGGACATAAACATTCGTGCATCCACCTTTCCAAAATATAACTAAACTTTACACATAAAAGCAAAAAATTGTCAATGTTTCTTTCAAATTTCTCTAATAAAATCAATTTTTAATTTGTATATATGAAGAAGCCTGGAAATAGACACTAGCTTGCAAATATGGCCCCCTCACAACAAAAAGAAATCCTTCTTATCTTAAAATAACAATTTAGAGAGTCCACTTGCAACACTCCAAGTCAAAAATATTGAAAACAGGATCCTTCCTCTTTCCAACCCAAGAAGCTAACTACGAAACCTCTCACCCACTTTTATATATAACCTCCAGCTACTCTCAAAAACCAAAGTCCATAATCAAAAACAAAAGAAGACTCCAATATCATTCATCCATGGCTTCTTCACACCAACAACAACAAGAACAAGACCAATCAGCTTTAGATCTCATAACCCAACACCTTCTTACCGATTTCCCTTCCTTAGACACCTTTGTCTCCACCATCCACCACTGCACCACCTCAACTCTAAGCCAACGCAAGCCACCTCTTGCCACTATAGCAGTTCCTACAACTGCACCAGTGGTTCAAGAGGTTGATGATCAAAGGCACTACAGAGGCGTCAGGAGAAGACCGTGGGGTAAGTATGCGGCTGAGATCAGAGACCCAAACAAGAAAGGTGTTCGTGTCTGGCTAGGCACTTTTGACACAGCCGTGGAAGCTGCAAGAGGTTACGACAAGGCTGCTTTTAAACTACGTGGAAGCAAAGCCATTCTTAACTTTCCACTAGAAGCAGGCAAGCACCAGGAAATTGGAGACAACAACAAGACAGTCTCTTTAAAAGCAAAGAGGAAGAGACAAGTAACGGAGGATGAAATCCATGGAAGTAACCTGTGTACCCATAAAGCTGTGAAGAGGGAAGAGGCAGAAATTCAGGCTCAGGCTGAGGTTTGCCCGTTAACACCGTCAAGTTGGATGGGGTTTTGGGACGGAGAAGACAGTAAAGAGATGAGAATATTTTCTGTGCCTCCGTTATCTCCTTATCCATCTCTTGGACACTCACAACTCGTGGTTACGTAAGGATCATATTGGGAAAATTCCAACATTAGGTGACATCTGCAACTTTAATATCATCTACAGGCAAAATACCAAGAAGATGATAACAAATAGAACTTGCTTTATTGTTCAAATCTTATAGATTAGCTAGTTGAAAAAAAATGCTTTGCTTTTATTCATTCATTCTTCTGCTTTATACCCTTAGATTTTATGTTTGAATGCTGTATAATTCATTTTTAATTGAGCAAAGACGATTTGTTTAGAATGAGATTAAAACACATTAAGTTACATGACTTTTAGAACAATAGACGTTCAAAGAGTAAAAAAACATGATGTGGGCAGTTAAAATGTGGTGAAAATAAAAATAAAAAAACTATGAATGGTATAAGTTTTTGGCTTTCAAGACTTTAAAATAAAGTTGGAGCTTTTAAAGTTTTTCCCAATCACCCCTTAGAGTCTCAGAGAAAGTATTATCTGAATTCATATGGATATTGGATAACACCTTACTATTTTGTGATTGAAGTACCTCAGTTAATTATACAGACCCGCACTACAATTTCAGATTTGGACATTTCACACACAAAAATTGTTCAACCACAAAAATACATTTCTTGAGAAGCTTATCATAAACACTTTTGGATGGCCATTTCTTTTACAGTCGTTGCCAGTCTCTGGAACACCTTCAGGTTATGTCCTACTTTCCCCTGCGATAGACAAGTTGGGTAACCACCACCTTTCACGTTCAGCACATAAATAATCGAAAATTCTAGTATATCGATTAGGCTTACCTCATTCAGTAATGCAAGCCTCTCTATGGTAGGTGACAATTTGCCACATAGATTTGTAACGTCCTGTTGTAGATGGGATTTTGAACCATATGATCCCCTTTCGTTTGAACTAACGGATCTGCAGATGTCAAGTGTTAAGCATAAAACCCTAGAGAAAACCGTATGAACATCGTAGATTTCCAAAATATATTCACTTAACAACATTTAAGATATTAATTGTTGAAGATAAAGTGGCTTACCTATCTTGGAGATGGATCAGGATAATATTTAGTACATGCTCGGCAAGTTGTAGTAACAAGGTGATTAACTGGTCCCTATTACCCACGATTTGGCACATTTCAACCATAGCTATGTATCTCCTGAGGTAAGTAACAAGCCACAAGCAAATATAAACAGTGGTCAAACGTCTTACTAATCACTGATAGGAAAAAGCTGGAAAATTTCTATGTTAATAACCCATTTCTGCTTTGGCATATGCACGCATGAGCAAGTAGAAGACAGAAATTCACTAACCTTTTATGTATGTTGTCGGACGGTGTGACATATTCTTGGCAATCACATATCTTGATGATCGCATCTACATCTTGTCTTGAGAGCTCGTTTATGTCTCTAATCTACCAATCATACATGCAACTTCGAATATAAAAAAAGAAAAGAAAAAAAAGAGCTTGAAACATGTAAAGAGTAGGAATTAGGATAATATACCTTATGAAGAAGTAATGACTTTTTCTCAGCTGCTCTCTCGAGGGAATCAGTCACATGCGAAAGAAGAGATGCAAGCAACATCAACGTTGGTTGGCGTAGTTTAGAGGAACTATCAAGAGAATCATCTGAAACCTGGGAGGAGGGGTGGGTGTGAGGACAAGGGGCATGAGTATTTACTTGTAGTTCATTCAAACAACTGAATAATGAAAACGTGGACAGAAGAAATAGAGGGAAATGACTACAAGAGTGTACCTGCAACCTCAGAGAATTTTTGGTCACCAGAAAATATAAGTAAGAAGTCAAGCTGAATCGCAACTGAGACAATTTGAGCTCTGATCCCTTCTGTCCACCAGATGAGAAACAAGAAAGAGAAACCCATCGAATATAAGAATTCAAGGATTGGATGAAAGGTGCCAATAACATATGACAAAATATATACTGATACTCAAAAATGTACCTGAACTACTTGTCCTACCTGCGATGATATTGATTTAATGGGGGAGACGACGAAAAGGTTGCTCATCATATCAAAAAGCCCTTGAACAAATCCATATCCGTCATTCTCTTCAAAAGGCCAGACCTACAAAACAGGCAAACTCACTTTCTAGAAAACGCATCTAACTAGCTTGTGGAAGTTTTTTGAGCCCTCTTGAAGATGCAATCACGAAAAGAGAAGCAAATGCCCTTTTAGAAGAAAGAAATTAAGAACTTATAGCTCGCCAAAGAATTACCTTGCTCAATATTCCAACTGCAAGAATAATTTGCTCCATCAATAAATCATCTGCTTGAGTAAAGTCTTCACGAAGAAGTTGGTCAAAAAGATTTTGATGTCCTTTGATAAACTCAATGACTTCACGAACAATTTTATTCCTTCCCTATCAAACGCTCAGGTACAAAAAGAAGAAAGAAAATCATTATAGTTCGGATATCAAGAAACAGTCACCCAGAAAAAAATCGACAACATTGACTTGCATAACTAGTTGAATAGGAAAATAATAGGTGAAAAAGAAATCAAGATCATACCTAAAAAAACTAATAAGAACAATACTAATTGTCCTAAAATTTACAAATGTTTCTGCATCTGAATATTATATTCTTATATCTTGCAAACATACTGCAAATGTCATCAACTCATCAAGTGATTGTACTTGTATAAGGTGGAACATTTGACGACACTCACATGTTTCCTACTTCTACTTGTTAGAGGCATCAAAGATGTAAACAATAGCAATAGAAAATCAGTGACATCATTCAAGTTTCTACAAGACGCAAACAACACATTACTTTTAGTGAAAGAGAAAAACACCATAATACTAATATCATATTTCAAACAAACTGAACTCGGTGTCTGTTATTCAATTTTATTAGGCCTGTATTACTCTCACACAACTCTTCAAACATATCACAAGTCAGACTATAAAAGTCTTAAGAAGGCCCTAAACGATCTGGAAGATAGTGCTTAACTGGCAACTCATGCTCACTAAATCAGGCCAATAAATGTGGAAGATAGTATTAAATTAGCAATGCAAAAGATCATAAAGAAAAGGTCATCTAAAGAAACGCGGCTGACCTCAAAAAATTCAGAGGTCTCAACCAATGAGGTTAGAGCAAACACCAGTCTTAGGACAGCAGTGATTATCGTTCGTTGCTTTTGCACACTATATCCTGCATCACTCTGAAGTTTCATATCCACCCGTCTCATATTTCCCTGTAAGGCACTTTTGGGTTAAAAGCAGACAAAATATTGATGTCACATATAGAAAACCTGATAACTACAGAGAACATATTACCTTAAAGCTGATAGCTCTACATGAAGCGATATGTTCCAGTGCACCCATGGAGAACAGAACCTGGCCTCCAGACTTTCCGTACTTGTGACTAATTCTAAGTAGCAATGCAAGTTCTGCTTCTAAGGTACATGCTCGCTGTTGTGACTCCAGCAAATGTGTTCCATCCTGGGCCCAATAATATGATAAATACACATGCATGAATGACAAGTCCTCGAAATAAGAATACCCACATATGAATCAGGTCTCCAAGGTATGTAAACTAGCAGCATATGAAGATTATGATCCCCAATACCTACTATGCAAATGAGGCATAAAACACACACGAGTTACATAGGGTTTCTAGTCTTTTTCATGCCAAAAAGTCAAAACAACCATGTTATGCCACTCTTAAAGAAGATTTAACAGGTTTGTGATTCTATTTTGGCGATTTATATATACTGTGAGCTTGAATTTGCATGTGTGAACTCCTACGCACTGAAAGGGCATTATTGACTTAACTACAATTTAATCTACTTCTGCTGGTTTATCAGTCAAGCCCAAATTAATTATTTACAACGAGTTAAACAAGTTGCCGCAAGGAAATTCATAACAATGACCACACTCAGAAGTTCACAGGAAAATTACCTGGTAGGAGATATTACTAATGCTTCCAAGGCAAGACCGTATGAAACCTCTGCTCTGGAGCTGACTAAGAATATATCTCTCGTGATCAATACAAACAAGAGCTTCCAGCACATAAAGTGATATTGTTTTTCCAAACTCACTGCCTTGACTTGCATCTTTGATTACCTGGAATCAATATTCACAATGTGAAACAGTGCAAATGAATATGGCTCATATCAATACAGAAGTAACAATTACCAGATCCAAGATGCCCTGAGCTTCTTTCTTTATTACAAAAAAGTTGGCACGGGCAAGGTCAGCCTGCTCCTTGTCAATCTGAAAGACAGAAAAAACGAAAGATAATTAAAATATCGTCCGAACAAAATAAGTCTCGGGTTAATCATCAAACACTTGCCTTCTGGATATCCAAATCTTCACCATCTTGCTCATTAAGTAACAAGAACTGCACAACTGATGTTGGCACATCCAGAGCAATCATATGCTGGCAGTACTGGAAATAGCTCAAGAGCAATGCATATTGGCTGATGAAGAAAGACAAATGTGTTAGAAACGGGGAAAAGCTGAAATTAGATAAGCTTCGCAGAATATGAATTTATGTTGTATTATAAGAAAGTAAAAATATAACTAAGGGAACTTAGAACCATACCGCCTTCTCAAGGATTCTGATGACTCATGCCTTAGAATTGCCATAACAAGTTTAAATAGAACCGAGTTGCAAGCACCAGTGGATAAATGTTTGACCATCATAACATCTAGACATGTCACGGTGTCAGAACTCAAGGCCCCTTGAAATGAAAATCTATCATCACGAAGCTTGGCAATGCAGGTAAGGGCAACCTATTAAAACCTAAAGTTAGTACATAGACAACACATTTTATAATAAAAGTTACTCAACAGCTAAAATGCACCTGAGTAAGTACAAACGCCATTTTTAATGAACAATCTGGAGACGCAGAGGCACTAAGAGAGGCATCAAGTAACCTGCCAACAACCAGAGAAGAACAAGTCATGCAATGTTCAAGAAAGCTTCACAAGCAACTAACCTCGGGTACAAAAGGTACTCACCGGTACAAAATTTCAGACCGATTATCAAGAGAAGATATTCTTCTGCAAGCAGACACCTAAAACAAAAACATAGGAAGCACAAAACAGAAGATAAATACTTGATATCTTAAAAGAGTGGCACACACTCATGATACTAAAGGTGATCTGATTATT